TTGGGAGGCTAAGGTGGGAGGATTGCTTGAGGCCAAGAATTCAAGACCAGCCTGGCCAATATAGCAAAACACTGTCTCAAAAATATACAAAAAATATAAAAATTATTTTATTTGTGCTAAGAATGCTATGACTATCATGTGAATACTGCCTCTAGCCAAATAAAAGAGAAACCCAGAATTGAAATTTTTACCCAAGATAAACAGTAAGACCTTGGTTTCCACACAATCCATAATGAATATTTTTATGAATTATCTGTCAAAGAATAATTTAACCTAGGATTCAAAGTGGTACTTTGATGAGCTATGCCTTTCAGAGAATCTCATGATCCTTAGATGAAAAATTTTAAATTACAATCTTACTACAAACAATGCTCAGTGACTAGGCAGGCAGATCAAAAGCATTCCTTCTGTTTTAACACAATCCAAATGTTGCCAGCAACTCCTTCAGCAAGTACTAAATTTCCTTTCTTAATTTTGGCTCTACCAGTAAGAAAGACCTTTTAAGCCAAAACCTTTAATAATTTTCTTTAATTTTCTCTCCCCATAGAATATTAACTAGATAGTGGTGGCATTAGAAATAGACAGAGATGGCACCAGGAACAGGATGAAATGAGAATACAAAGGTGTTAAACAGGAGGGCAGTGAAGTAGGAAAGCTTTAGCTCCTGAGGACTATTCAAAATGTTGTGACTTCTCAGAATGTAAGACCACCTTATAAATTTAAGAACAAGAAAAAGTGCATTCCAGGTATATTTTTAAATTATTCAAAATAGTTTCCTCTCCATTATTTCAACTAATTAAGAATTGTTCTAAAACTAAAACTAACTACATTATTATACCAGAAATGAAATTCTTTTGAAGTACATAATTGTCCACAACTATGTTTTTAAAAAATCTTATTGATATAATAGTTATTCCAAGAAGATATACAGGGCACGTTTGCTTCATTTTGTACTGATCATGGAGTATTTTTATTTTAACCAACAAGAGAGTCTAATAAAAAAAACCATTCCTGAATTTCATTTCTGACTTCAACATCAATACTTAAATAATAATGTAGGTTTTATACCATACCTATCCTTGATCTGTCTGGCAGCCTTGGAGGAAATCAGGGAGAAGAGAAAGAAGGCAGTTAGTACTTTTCATGCAAGTTTCAATGGCACTGACATGCAAGAAAAGTTAGGATATAAACCCTGCAATTAATTAGTTCATATTCACTGAAACATAAATTATAGAAAATTTGTATAGTTCATATAAGCTATCATAATGGATATCAGAACTATAGTAGAAAATTCGATCCCATATAAATCACCTTTTAAGGATAAAAATTTAACACTTCAAACTAATTCCAGGTGATTATGTTTTTCTTACCTTAAGATCATCAGAACAGACCTCTAATTTCATTCAATCTGACACTCTTCAACTAGAACAATTAGTCTCCTCCTTCCTGGGACACACATTTCTATGTATTCTGATGATTTTCTTATATGTCAAATCTGCTCTCTAATTTTTTCTTTGGCGATCTCTTTCACTATTTCATAATGGTTGTTCTAAGTTTTCTCTATATGCTTTTACTGGGCAAGGGATTCTGAGAGCTTGCCTGCTAACAAATAAAGCTAGGCTAAAATTTTACAAATCTTTACTCCGAAGAAAATTACAATGGCAGAAATTCAGACAAGGAGACACCAGAGAAATACCTCTAGCAATGGGGT